AGCAACACCGCAGGAGAAATGCCAGCACAGGCATCCAGTATCCGTAGTTTCAGGTGCCAACCATTCCCATGTTATTACGGTTTATCCATATAAATGGCCCACCCTGTATTAATCCTACAAAGGTAATCATGAAGGGTTATTACATCTCAAATGCTAAAATGTTTTAAACATTTTCTGCTCGATCATGCCCAATTTGCTTAAGATTTTTATCACAGAAGGTCTGGGTTAAATAATGGTTGCTGAGAAATTTTAACTTCATATATGAAGTACTTTTTAGAGTCTGTCTTTTTTTAATGGTTGGTTAGCCCACGCCCAGCATGGTGAAATTTGAAGCCATGTTTGATCTTGAATATCTAGAAAACTATTAAAGATAAAAGCCTGAAATTTTGACCTTTCTCACCATCAAAACGAATCAGGATTTCTTATTTGGACAGGTACAGGTACTGGCTAGGTAAAATATGAAAATAGTTCCAAAGTTCCATATTTGAGCACACACAAATAAAAACACTTCATATTGAAAAAGACAATTCGTGACAATTTCTTAATGGCATATAGTTGATTTCATAATAATGAAAATAAAAAATGCAGAATTCTTTTGAATGTTAAATTCAGAGGAAAATGCTATTTTCATCCCAATTTCATGCTGGATTGAGCAAACATGACAAGCTGTACAACAAAAACCTAAATGTCAATAGATAGTCTAATCTCAATACAACACTTTTCAGATGGTACTCTTAATTAAATATTTCATTTAGTTAAATATATTTATATTATTCATTTTCAAGACTAGCTCTACCTAGACTTAGTTGAGACCTACTGCCTTGGAGCAGGCATATAATTCAGGTCAAGTTTAAAATATACAATAATATTTTCAAAAAGATATATCTTGATAAGTCTGCTTATCCTCTTCAGGGTCGTGGTGGGGGTTACACCCTGGAGAGGTTGCCAGTCTGTTGCAGGGATACACTCAACCATTCGCACTCACATTCACAATTATAGGCAATTTAGAGTTTCCAGTTAACCTGTCCCCACTAACTGCATGTCTTTGGACTGTGGGAGGAAGCCAGAGTACCCAGGGAGAACCCACGTAAACACAGAGAGAACATGCAAACTCCACACAGAAAGACCCCGGCCTGAAGGTGGAATTGAACTCAGGACGGGGTCTTTCTGTGAGGCAACAGTGCTAACCACCGTGCACCATGCTGCCTTATCTTGAAAACTATGTGATATATTACACATATATTTGCAGTAATTGTTATGTATGTCCAAACTTTGGATCATAGATTTTTTAAGGAAATCGGAGATGGTCGAGAAGAAGCCCCATGGTGATTTGAGATGTTAAGACCGAGAAGAGACTAAACTTTCAAAAGGAAAATTTGCCATTTTTCTCAGATATGTGTTTCACCCCAGAATGAATCACAGATTAACTCTTAATTTGTGCCATCGTCATGTCAAAATGATACTCTCTTGATATTACTACAAACTGACAAAACAACATAACCTCTTTCGTCCATCTGTAGTTTCATTTCAACCTAATCAGTATCATCAGGTAGCAGCGCCGAGACAGACTGCCAGGCCCCTGCCCACACACATGCACACACACATTCACAGCAAGTCTGGCCTGATGCAGGACTCACAGACAAACAGCCAGATGGGGTATTAACATAGAGTGTGGAGTCGTGTGGAGAGTGTTGCCATGAGCCTGCCGGGTGAAGAATGAAGTCGTGTGCAAACTCCTCAACACTCACATCAATGCATCATCAAAGGCCAAGGTGACGGGCTCTTTCCGTATTTACAGGCCTAACTTACCAGGTATACCGCTGGGATTTTGTGTCTTTGTGTTGCTTGAAGTATGGTAAATGGTAAATGGCCTGTATTTATATAGCGCTTTACTAGTCCCTAAGGACCCCAAAGCGCTTTACATATCCAGTCATCCACCCATTCACACACACAGTCACACACAAGTATGACAAACTACAAAGCCAGAAGGGTACACCAAGACAGCCTGTTCAAACCGTGGATGGATAGTTTACAAGTTAACAGCTTTGGCCAACTATTTGTCACTTTTATAACGATCATAATTTATGTGGCTTAAAAAGTTCGATGGGAAAAATAAAAATGACCAAATCATCCATCCCATTTTTCCCCTCATCATGCTAAAGCTCTTTCTTCTTTTTTTTTTTTTTTTTGTATGCCAGTGGTTTCAATCACATAAATAGATAGTCTCGCAGATGACAGGTCATATCTGAGTATCTACAAGGTAATGACAAGGAAAAGTGACAGATTACGTCTCTGTGTTGTTCCATCATGCACGAGCCTTTTGAAGAATGGAGCTAGGTAGAAGTGAGTGCCACATGATAGGAAAAACCCTCATAAATATGTTTTGTTCCAAGTTCTGCATGGATGGATGTCTCGTAAGGATGAATATGTTTATATATAGTGTGACAGGGTGGCTAGATTGATAGGCAGCTGGCACTGATTTTGGTGTTTTTACAGTTCACTCCCTTCAGTGACTACATGAAATGTACGTCTGTTAGTAACATTGTTCTTATTTATCTGAATTTACTCTGTCCGCACTCTTGGTGATTGGGGACGTTGTTGGCATTCGGTCGTTCACTATTTCTCCATTATCTGAACCTGATTGACATCATTACTTGTCTTCCTAGCCTAATGATCACAGCCTCAGCAACAGCACACATGGACGCCTAGCTATCTTATAAAAGCAGTCGAGTTATTGATATTGTTCCTAATGTAGTGAGAGACAATTAAGCGAGGGAATGATGTGTGCAGTCACCTCTGAATTTAAATGAGGCTTCAGTGTATATGTAATTGCTTTTGTGTGAGTCATACCACCATCATGCGTTTGGCTGGGACAGTTCTGCAGTGTGTTGTAACCTGAGGACTAGATGCTTCTCACCAGTTATGTACTGTACCTCAGTGGGTGTGTTAGTGATGACAAATGGGATTCTAATCTAAAATTTGAATGCGCCGTGCAAGAATTAATTAAATCACAAATATATCTAGGTCTTAAAATGTATCCATCCATCTTGTTTTTTGATGCATATCTGGGTCCAAGTTCTGGGAAGCGCACGGATGCCCAGACCTTGGTCTTCCTGACCACCTCGTTCAGCTCTTCTGGTGGACCACCAAGGCGAGCCCAACCAAGTCAATCCACATCACCTCTCGAGCTGCTCCTGGGTCTGCCCTGGGTCCTCCCCCTAAGTGGACATACCTGAAACACCTCACCTATTAGGTGTCCATGCCCAAATCAGCTCCTCACACCATCTCTAAGGGGAAGTTAATTACTTATTTATTCATTCTTTCTGTCCCTACCCGAAAGATAGGATAGCAAAGATAGGAAGTTGTTGACTGGTTGTGCAGTCTTGCAATTGTCCTCGAATGTCCTTGAAAGGTCATTACTTCAGCTTAAACTTGTTCTCAACGCAGACAAAACAAAACTCATGTTGTTTTCTAAATCAAGGAGACGAGCCCAAACAATCCCATCAGTAACCACTCTTGAAGGTAATAAAATTGAGTTGGTTCACACCTATAAATATCTGGGAATCTTAATTGATGACTTGCTTACCTTCAAACCACATGTAGAGAATCTTGTGAAAAACCTGAAGTTAAAATTGAGATTTTATTTTCAAAATAAGTTGTGTTTCTCTTTTAATACAAAGAAGCGGCTTGTTGCTGCAACATTCTTGCCTGTGCTGGATTATGGTGATATTCTATATATGAATGCTTCTGCTCAATGTCTTCGAATGGTTGATTCTGTGTATCGTGCTTCTCTGAGGTTCATCACTAACTGTAAATTTCAGACTCACCACTGTGAGTTATACTCTCAGGTAGGATGGCCTGCTTTGGTAAGTTGGAGGAACTCTCATTTATACAGTTTTATATATAAGGCGATACTTGGGTTGCTGCCTTCTTATCTATGTTCCCTGCTTGTAATGAAACATGCTGGTCGGTATTCTCTTCGTCCGCATGGCTACTTGTTGCTTTCTGTTCCATTTGCCCGAACTGAACTTGGTAAAAGAGCTTTTGTCCATTTAGCACCCTTGGCCTGGAACAAACTGCAGAAGGAATGGAAAATGACTGAATTCATTTCATTAAGTGCTTTTAAATCTAAACTACAAATCCTTGAGGCCAAGTCCATAACATGTAACTGTTTCAATTAGATTGATTGTCATTTTAACTGACTTTTTTATTTTTGTTAGAATTTTATTGAATTTTATTTTTTATTTTATTTGTATTCTTTCACTTATTGTTGCATGTGTGTTGTTGCTGCCTGGGTTTGAGTAATTTCTGTAACTGTGAGACATCTGCTGCTGCCTATCTTGGCCAGGTCTCCCTTGAAAAAGAGGTTTTTAATCTCAATGGGATCTTCCTGGTTAAATAAAGGTTAATAAATAAATAAATAAATAAATAGCAGCTTCAGTGTTTGATGACCAGGACGAAAACCACTCTAATGGATCTGAGTCTCAATCACCCAGGCATAAACCTTCTCGGGGTGATTGGAAAGGTTTAGGTAACTGTGACCTCATAAAGCATGACCATGGCATTCATATGCCAAGGTTAACAGTGAAGTCTGGACAGAAATATGATTTATGCTTGACTTGTTCATAAAACATACAGTTGTATGTGGCGTGTGGAAGCTTCTGTTTGATGCTTTGCATGCATGTTGCAGTATCATAATGTTAAAATGAAGTGAGAGAAAATCAAAATATAAAGCTTCAGAGACCATAAAATAAAAACAATCAGAACACAGTTGCTGTAATCATTCACTGAGCTGAGGGCAATGGCACAATTAGCTAATGATTCTTGTCAGTTTCATATTACATATACCCATTTGACCCATTTTATTCATAAAAATGAGGATATTTCCAGCTTTATGCCTCACTCCACACTTTCCTCTTGGTCATTTGCACCCTTCCTATAATGATTCATTGTTTCTAAGGCTCATTCAAAGGCACTTTGCTTTAACGCCATGTCCTCAGACATGAAGTTGGGCAGGAATGTGGCTCGAACCTTCCTGGATTACTACAAACTCAATAACTTCGTTAAGGACAACAGACCAACTCCTATTCAAAGGTAAAACTGTATGGCACTAGAATTAGATATTCATGAAAGCAAATCTATCTGTGACTATTGTCAAATCTACTTTTGTTTTTCCTCTTCTCTGAATTTCACGCTGTCACTGATGTTCGTCTGTTTTTGTCTCCAGTTCTGGGGTGATGTCCCAGACAGGCAATGGTGTTGGCAGAGACACAGCAGACAGAGAGAAGGAGAAGAGCGAAAGTTTCGGGCACTAGACAGCCAGCCAGACGGACACAGGCTGAGCATGTATAAAATGCAGAGCACTGAGGCAGGAGAATCCTTCACACTTCATTGTGTTTATAAGCTCCACATCTCCCTGGCTATAAAGACTTATTTTCACAGATTTGTAACAGTGGGATGACTGGTACTTGTAGGACTAAACCCAGAAGAGGCTTCCTCCTGGGTTATAAAGCATGGACTGTTGAATACCAAGAGGAGACAGACTGGTTATTCATCTATGTTTCCATCCAAGGCCTTCATTTGGCAGCTCATTTTTTTGTTGAGAAGAAAAAAGTGCATGCGCTCCTGTTGTCCCCCCCCCCCCTTTTTCCCCCCAATTTAAATTTTTATCTCTGATTGTATTATAATTAGTCATTAAACATTAAAGCAGTTAATTATTATTTGTACTTGTTGCTCTATTATAACAATAATATTGAGGAGAGCTTTACAGTATATGAAGAATAACTTCAAAGCTTTTTAAAAATTTTTATCTGTGTTCATAGTGCTAAAAAAGAGCATTTTTACATGGTGACTTGAGGTTTTAGGAAACACGAACACAAATCCAGGCTAAAGTGCGGCGATGTGAGCACACGTGCAGTGATTGTGTGTGCGAGACAACACGCTTTTGATTCGCCACTTCTCTGTCACGTGACCCCACATCCGCTCCGTGACTGTTGCTGTTTGGCAGCTATGACAACGAACTTTGAAAGTTAGATGAATGGCCTCGGTGAAGAAGAAGTTTTCCTCCTCTATAGGGTATCAACATTGTCTGAAATGCACGGTGTACTTGGACATTCAGGCAGTAAGTGCGTCTTTATGCTGCTGCTTTGGTACGAAATTCAAAATGTGACCTGATGCCGTAGCTTATTAACGTTTGCTAGCTAGCGAGCTTACGTCCTCTTTCAGCAAACCTTCCGTTACGGTTCCGTAAATACACAGTTAGCTTACCAGCTAACCCTAACTGATACACCAGGGTTATCCTGACATGTCTCATTAACTTACTAATTCCTCCTTGTCGTTACCAGTAACGTTAATACTGATGCTGCCGTAATTATTCTAATTGAGTCACTGCAATTAGTGCAAACAGTTAGAGGTGATACGAAAGGCATGAACGTAGCATTGGTTCTTTTACGTATTAATATTTATGTCTGAGTCACTTCAGTATTAATCTGTTTATACATAAACCATTAATAGAAATATTGATGTCCACTAATGACCCCGAGGTTCTGCTGTAAAAGTTGATTGTAGTGGTTTGATGTCCATTAGGTGTTTTTAAGTAACTGAAAGTAATTCGTTTTTTCATAATTTATCTGTGTACGATAAGCGTCATTTCCTGTTTCAGTAAACTTTGGGTTGACCTTAAAGCCCACTTTATGCGTGAGGATGATTTCCGTCCCGTTTATTGCTTCAAGTTCATAAAAGTCAACACAACTGACTGTCACAAAAGTAGGTGTCAATATGAAATACTTACCATAGAATACGAAATTGGGAAAATGAAACGGAAGGTTTACAAGACAAGAGGCCGAGATGGAGGTTGCAGAGTTGAAGATGCTAAAAGATCTTCACGACGAGGGACAGCATTAGAAATGAGTACATCAGAGGGACAGCTAGTGTTGGACGATGTAGAGACAGAGTTAGAGAGTCAAGGCTGAGATGGTCTGGACATACTGTATGGAGTGGAGCAATAGTGGCTATAATGGACAAAGTATGTTGAATATGAAGCTGCCAGCCAGCAGGAAAAGGGGGGAAAGACCACAAAGAGGAGGAGAATTAAAGGAGGACATGCAGAGGGTTGGTGTGACAGAGAAGGATGCTGCAGATAGGGTGAGATGGAGGCAGATGATCTGTTGTGGCGACCCCGAAACGAAATAAGCTGTAGAAGAAGATATGATAGGATATAGGCCGAACCTTGAACCTGCATAGTTTCTGTGTATCTATTAAGTTAGATATAGCAAAATTTGACACTAATGTTTTCCACATTGTTCCACAAAAACATTTTCTTTGACCTTAAATTACCAAGATTGTGTTACCCTAACAGCAGTAACAGTAGGAAGTCTTGATTGCACATGGATTGCGTATTTTAGTAATTGTTTATTAACTGCTGTTGTCTTTGGGATATTTGCAAGTGTGCTTCTCTTGATGAATGCACTCTTCCAAACACGTTTGAAAACCATAATAAACGAACACAGTAGAATTTGTGCCCTGTTATACTGTTCATAACCAGGTCACATGCCCGGGAGTGCTACTGTCTAAGAAGTATGATATCTACCTCCGTGTCTGCATCATGGGCCAGTACAGGAAGACTGCCTGTGTGCCTCCGGACTTCCCTTTGCTTTTCCAGCACAAAATGGTTTTTGTCAAGGTGAGAATAAAGCAATTTATTATAGAAATAAAGGACGGCTCCTTGATTTGGGCACAAGATTTCCATCTGCCTGTGGGAGTTTTAGACTTGGCAATAAAAGTGTACATATGATCATTAAAGTAAAAGGAAATTCAGACAGACATAGATTTACCCTACATTAGTTATAGTGTACATTAACAAAAATATGAAAACATACAGTATTAAAGCCTTATCATACAGTTTTTGCTCTTAAGACTGTCAGAATCATCTTATCATTATAACTTTGCATTAAATCTTAAAGTTTGTGCTGAGCTAAATTTGCGTTTTTAATGCACAGCTTAACCTGTGATAATTAACACATGCGGGTGACATGGGCGGAGTACATAAGTTCTTATTGCTAAGTGGTTTTCACACATTAACTCCAAGGATGGAAGGCAGGACGGCATACAAAATGTGTCCTTGCTCACATGTAGCATACACCTGTTTACCTGCTCTTATCTTTGCTCTGCCACCACACAATGTGTTTTATTTTTTATTTTTTTTGTCAAGGTCAGGGTAAAGCTATTTGCTACAGAAATAAAGGATGCCTCCCTGTGTGAGACACAGGATTTCCATCTGTCTGTGGCTGTTTTGTTTAGACAGGATGCAGGAATTCTAGTGGCTTTATGTCTATATAAGCTTTACTTTTATCTACATTTGATTCATCTTAAGAGGTGTCCATAAGTGTTTTAGGTGCTTTTTTAAAAAAAACAACTTTTTTCTTAATAAAAGTGTTACCTATATGTTTAAGCCTTTTGTTCTTTCTTATGTGGGCCAGCATTCATCCATAGTTAGTATTCAGGTGGTGAAGGATTATGAGCCCACTGTGCCTAATAACCAGCAACCCTCCAGTATGAACATTAGTGTCCTAACTCTTAGTGAGAGGGACCTTGTTTTCCTTGGGGAGACTGGTACGCTTAGATACTGGCCTGTCCGCCAGATCTTGTTATAAGTATTGATTTGCTTTGTCTGTACTCTTTGTGTTTTCCCAGATATTCCCCGGCGTTGTTGACCCTGCTGATGTAGCTGACCTCCTCGAAGGTAAACGGCCTACTGGGATTTGCTTCCTCATCTCTTAGTCCCGAATCCTATCCTATGAAAGCTTATTGGCTATTAGCTGAGATACCGATCATTAGCTCACAGTCTGTTTATACTTTCCTTCCTTCCTCTTAGCTGACACAACATCTTTTGAGCTGATTCAGTTGGTGCCTCCAGGTATGCTTTCTGATGATACCAAATGGGCCTCTTAAGTCCCCACTGTATCCAGTCATTACACTGCAAAACAGGATATTTAACTTGGACTGTGTGTGTGCATGATCCTGGGTTTTGTGTGTGTGTGTGTGTGTGTGTGTATATGGGTTATAGAAGGTGAGGTACTTGCCACAATGGAGGAAAGCAGCAGAGATTTCCTGTATCCAGGTCCCAGGTGGAGCTCAAGAGTCGCAGAGCGAGAAATACTGATGAAAAGATCATCCTCATTTCCTGTAAGCGTTTTCTGTTTATGCCAACATCCTAACATTTATCACAATTATGTGTTAGAAAGCTCTAAAGAGGCCATATAGGTGGTTTTTTGTTTTTTAAAGTTATACGTTGAGTGTGAGCATTAAGGCCCGTTTATAAGTGACTTACTGCTACTTATGCAAAAATCAAAACATAACTTTAAAAGTGTCTTTACAGCAATTTTATGATCGATCTCATATATAGTCAGTGAAAGAAAATAGTCAAAGGTTTTTTCTGTGTTGTACACTAACAAAAAAGATGTTTGAATTCTTTACATGCATGCATATTTTAATCCCTTATCATACACTTTGCCCTTTTTTGTTTTCTGTTTAATGATTAAAATCATCTTAACTTTTCATTAAGTCTTCAGGACATTGAATTAGCGCTAATATGAAGCCATTTTCGCACACGCTAGCACACAACAGGATGCATTCCACAGCAAACACAGTTAGGAATACTGTGCCTGCTGTAGGGGAAGGTGCAGGAAATGATGCCCTCCCGCTCACTGTAAATTTAACGGACAGTTATATGCCAGCAAATCAGAGATTCCTCAGAGTTTGGACCTGGAAACTGGCAGGTTCAGTGTCCAGTCTGACTACATCAGTCATTTGCATTCTGACATGCACCTTTGTCAGGTAATGTTTAGAAAAGTTCAGGGCTGCAGTGTATTTGTGAAAACTGCTTAATAAAAGTCAACAGCACGCCAAGTATGGACAATAAAGGTGCAAGGAAAGTAAATGCAAACACAAGAGAATCCAATTGGAGGCATCCCAAATAAATCAAAGATAAGAAATAAAGGTTGTTTAATATCCTGTCAGTGCATAAATGTACATGTCAGATAAACATAAGCCACGGACACTGGTAAGTTTCAAGTTATTTTACAGCAGGCTGGTAGTGAGCCTTTACTATTAAATACTCAAATGCCAATAAACGGGATAAATGTTCTCTTTAGGCATACAGCTTTATCTAACCTTGTTTTTCATCTTTGGTGAAGAAGCAGGAAGCAGAGTTTTTCTTCAGAGTTTCACAACCCAAAAGTCTCCAAAAGAGCTTGTATGCTGTGCAAAATGTAAATAAAAACCAGGCTGCAATATTTTGGACGTGATTTAGACACAATTCTGTGGTGGAAATCGCTGTGTGGGCCTGAGAAAACTTTAAAAGAGCACAGTTTGTCACCATATCAACAAATGCAAATGCAAAAAATCCACCATGCAAAGAAAAAAACAGATGCAAACGAGATCCAGGAACGCTGCTGCTGCATCTGGGTTCGAGCTCGTTTAAGATGGACTGAGGTTAAATTTAAAAAGCATCTCACGGTCTGATGAATAAAAATGTAAAATTCCTTTTGCAAACGTGGACGCTGTGACCTCTGAGCTTGAAAAGAGAGGACGTCTTTTTTTTTTTTGTAGTCATGTGTGAAGTTTGTTACATAACATCCATTCTTAAATTTTCAAGTAGTAGTCAAAGTCAGGGACTTAAACTTTAGTCTCTCACTGAAGTTCGAAATGTTCCATTTGGCAGTTAAATGCACGAGTGTATATTTCATGCCTGTGAAGGGTCCTGATAGTAATTTCAAATAGCACAATACTGAATTAGTTAAAGGAAGGAGGATATTCCTGTCAACATAATCCACGTGTCACAAAGACCGCACGCCGCGTTCACCACGGGATCCAGTTTGAGTGGCACCAATATTGCTCGTGTCATTCATTGTTGCTCACTCTAAGTGAGTCTCCTCCTAATCTCAGTGGCTCTCGCGTCGGTGCACTTGACAGGCAGCTACACCACCAAGATAACCAGTTCAAAAGAACTGTCTTGTCTTAAACTGAAGTATTGTCTTCAGAAAATATGGCATTTTCCTCGTGCAGCTGTTGACTGTCTTTGCTATACAGACATGAAAAAGAAGCTGAGAACTTCCTGTCTTTTCAGTCATTTTTCATCTTTTTTCTTCTTTTTTTTTTCTTTTTTTTTTGCTCCCCCCTCTTTCCTTTTTATATCATCCAAGTCTTCTCTATACCTCTTTCCTGCCATACTTCATCTCTCCATGTCTGCGGGTTGCTTTTCTATCCTCCCCTTGTCCTCCAAGGCACTAACTGGCAATATTTAAATGTCTTTAAACACCTCCCCCCCCTCACCATTGCTTTTATGTGTTTGTGTTTGAGGTCCTACATAGCAATTTAGACGTCTTTCTCCAAATGCCGTATTATTTAAACATCACTGGAGCCTTTCTCTTCTGTGAGATTTGTTTTTCTCAACCCAGGCGCAGATTGAAGATTTGCAGTTGTAAATTGGTGTTCCAGGCAGCTCTGTTATTTGTCTTTTTGTCTTCATCTCCCTGTAAAAACCCCTGTGTTTCGTCTATTGTCCCTCTCCCTCTAGGGAATCTCCCCTAAAGTAGTGTTTTCCACGACATCAGTCATAGAAGACAGTGATGGGAGAGACAACCGGACAGCCTCACCTGTAAGCGTCTTTTTATTTATTACATCTTTGAGGTGTTTGCAAACCCGCAGTCGCACACTGTGTGTCCAGTTTTAAATTAATTGTACTTTTGCTGCGTGCTCGGCATCGCCGTGCCAGCGTTGACCACAACTCGAACAGCGAACATTGATCTGTGGAGGGCTCTAATAGGAGGTATCGCTTGCCGCCACATACGACCGTTTCCACTATACATATCCAACTTCTATTGTTGCCATGGCTACTGCATTTATCCATCCATACTGGCAGTGTTTCAAGGGTATCTGTTCTCTGAATGTAATTACAGGGAGGCAGATTGGTGATGCTGATAATGAGGCTTGTCTCACATGTCCGAGTGCAGGGAGTTAGAACAGAATCAGCCGGTTAGGTTTGTTTTTGGGTTTTTTTACTGTAATCATGCAGATGATGGGTCACCTATAAATCTTCTTTGTGGATTTTTAAGGTTTACTGTGCTTAGGTCGGTGCAATGACATTTTAAAATCTTTTTTCCCCTGTTAATCATCAAAAAAGGAAACTAGGAATGAAGTTTGCCACGGTTTTCTCATCTTAACTTTACAGCGGTTTGATTTCTTTGCATGTGGGGATTCGATGGGTTGTTACTGACATCTGAAGAGAATTTAATATCACTAGGACCTGGCGTCGTTGTTGATGTGTTCAGTTCTTATTTTGTTATGTAGGACAATAAGTTATATATCGAATCATTCTAAAAACTAGTACTAGCCTTAAGCTGCAGCCACAGGTATAACAGCTGATTCGTGGTCCTGTATGATTCTGCGTACATGTGCAGAGTGTTTGCGCAGGTTATTTCAGGAGATGAACGCCGAGAGGGTGGAATAATGATGAAAAAGGTATTAGCAAAATATTTCACCAGCTTTCTAGTTACGAACATGTTATCCATCACACAGAGGCTCACATTCCTCCTCTTCCCCCCTTCCCCCCAAAAAAGAAGAAAGAAATGCTACGGTGAATTTCCCCGGTGCGGTAACCTAAGCTAAGCTATTTGTTTAAATGGGATGTCGGTGACAGTGAAGCAGATTGTCAGCGTGTTCCTCCTGGCCCCTCGGGGTGGATGTCTGGATCAGAGCACCACTGTGGCTGTCAGACAGTAGAATTTCTCCATTTTCTCTCTCCTAATGACTCTTCAGCATCTAGGCAGCTCCCTGACTACCTGCCCACCCAGCTGACAAATCATGTCTTGTTCTAACAGAGATCTGGAAAAATTGTGACTTTCAAAAAAATCTCTAAAAGTGTTCTGATGAATACGCTTTTTGTGTGTTTTCTCATGCTGTGTCCTGAATCCTCTTTAAACCCTTTTATCTGACTTACAGATGTTATGCTAATGTCAGTTTGTGACTTTGGGTCACACCAGAAAATAATTTAGCCACTTCTGCAGTTTGTGTGAGTGAAATGTTGTTAAATTTGGTACACACATGAAAGTGAGGATGAATAGCTTTTGCAGATATGTCCTATAACGTTCCAACTAGCACCATCACACCGTCACACTATAGTTGGTGAAACTCCCCCAAAAACCCAACTTTTTGTTTAGTTCACTTAATGTTGACATGAATTGTGCTTTTATTTAGCGCAGCATGCTGAAATGACGATTGTCAGTATTAAATCTTGCTTATTGCCATTGTTGGATTTGCAGTATGTAGTCATCTCAGCTTGATGAGTGCATTGATAATTAGCTCGATGTGCCACTGTGCAGCTTTACAAAGCCTCTTGCATGTTTTCTGTGGACTGTATCCCGAGCTTTGTTGAACTGTGTCTTTATCACACAAACCCAGATAAGACTTCTCCACTCAGCCGGCCACAGGAAAAAAAATGATTCGCTCTCGGTGACCATCCACCAGTGAAGACGAAGAAGAAAAGAGGAGCCAAAGGAAGTCAGAGATGGTGGGGGATTAGAGGACGAGGGCATACTTGTCTTAATTCTGTTAAATCCGATCATTCTCAAATGGCACCAGCCACAATGAGAATTTATTCATCATTCGGTTTCTCTTAAAAATAGTTTTAATGTTGTGTGATTTCCCTAATTAGCATTTAGATTATCTTTGTTTTACAGCCAGGTAGTGCCTCTTTATCATATTAGACTGGAGATGGCCATCAAATGCAATTAACATTTTATCTTAACTTATTTATCCCCGGCTGGCATTACCTGCAGGAAGTGGGATATTGCATGGGAGAATGATGTTAGTGGCCATTAGAGTTATTGAAGTAATTCTGCAGAGGTTGTCTCCATGGCAGTGCTGACTGCGAGAGCTGTTGTTGTAACACTTAAGCTGAATGATTTAGCTAATGGTTTAATGGTTTTGTCCAGGGAGAGCAAGTCTGTGTCAAGAGTGAGAGCAGCTGCCTTAATGGCTAAAATGGCCGATGCGTCTGCGAAGGAACAAACTGTGCGGTTTGCAGAGAAACCGCTCAAATCCTGTGTGTCTCCTTAAAATTCAAATGTGAAGCTAGTTCAAAATGTTACAGCAGCATAACATTTTTTTTCCTCTCTCATGTTCTGTCACTTCACCCCAGTTTGGCTGTGTTTCTCCAGCGAGGCCATCCTTAACCCTTTCCAGACGGAGTTCAGCAAAAAAGCCTACCAGCGGGCATTTTTCCAAAGCAGATGGTGGGAAGTGTGTCTCTTTGAAAAGTGGGAAGGACAAGCTGAGTGTTGATGCTAAAATTACAAACTCTGCACCGTCATCAACATCCAGGCAATCCCCGCCAGGCCGCAGTCCTCCAAAAAACAAGAAGGGAAAAAAATGCGCCCTATCCGGAGTTTCTGCCGAGCGCGGCTACCAGCAGCCCACCGTTTCCTCAAGGACGCGAGCCCTGTCTCCTTACACCCACCGAAGGATGTGCCAGCTGTCCGAGGATGCCAGGCAGAGGCTCAGCCACCTCCAGCTGGGGCCTCACTACTTTAGGAAAGAAACCGAGAGCCCGACGCCCTTCTTGGTTTGTAGCATTAAGGGAAGAATAAAAAACAACAACTTAGCATAATGGTTCATTTAATGCCAAAAATACACATGTTCAGTGCAGAGGGGTTATAAGATTAATGGATTCCTCTGCTGATGTAGTTCAAACCTCAGTGGGAGCGCCCCAAAATTTTGCTTAATCTAGTGAGCGGATTAAGTGGAGGGCATATTAAGAGAGCATCTTAATCTTTTTACCTGAGCCGTTAATGGATTTTGACGTCACGTACATGTTTCACTGTGTATGCGTGTAATATGGCCTATTATCCTCACCGAGGGGCTCGAGCACACTTTTAATAGCGCGCGTCCTGCATTTAGGTCGGGACGCTTTTATTTGTTAACACTTTAATTATTGCCGTATCGCTGCTGTTGGAGGTTTTCGCATGAAAGGGAGTGATTTTCGTGATCGCGCAGCCTTAGGGGAGTGCGTGCGATCGATGGACAAGAACAACACAGCCTTTAGTCCTCCGCCCCTCCCCTCTGTTATTTCTGCTTCATCATTTACATCAAATCTAATCCCGAGATATGAATATCAGACTCCACTCGCACGCTGTCATTAAAGAAATTATTAGGTGCTGCGTTTGTTTTTGTCACACACATGAATGGAATTAACTAGAATACAATGGGCGTTTTATTAAGGACAGGAGCGTGCTTTTGCGCCTCTGAATTTCCTGGGGGAATCTCCTTTCGACAATTAACTCTGGTAATTGAGAGTCAAGCTGCAATTAACAAATAGATACCTAATGAAGTAGCCCCATTAGCCCCATGGTGAATGCATTATCAGTGCACATTTCAGAGCCTCAGCTCCTGGGTTGTGTGCAAAGGGAAGCTCAGCCCTACAAAGAATCAGATGTGTTTTTCTGCGTAGGTTTTTCTTTTGGATTTTTAGTCGGAGAATGACTAGGAGATAACAGTGGGAAGAAACAAGTGATTGTGGTTAATGTACACTGATGTTTATTTCATTTATCCGCTGTGACAGGAGAGACGCGTCTGGATTTGTTGTGCAAAGTGTTGCGGTTAAGGTTTTAAAAAGGGGTAAAAACTCCCCAAAGTCCTCATTGTTCACTGGCGTTGTTTTACTGCACATGCAAAGTAAGTTAATTACGTTGTATAAAAGGAAATGAGCTTTTATTGTTGTTTGGTGCCAGGTTTCTCGCTGCAGCGACGTCTCTGAGATGGGAACGTTTTCCTCCTGTGCACTAAATACTAGCGTTCATCGGCGCTCCGTGAGCTTCTCGGCTGACCCCACAGGTAAACCTTCTAAACACATAAACTCAGTCCATGTATTGTAACACATTCATAGCTATCACATAGTGTATTTGCTGCAGGGTTTGTTTGTTTTCAAGCGTTTTTGGACAAAGCCCTGAGTGTGCTGAGTGCTTTGTCCAAATGCAGCCATCTGGATTTGGTCTCATAAAAAAATGTGTTTACTTTCTTTTTTGGTCTGATGCCTTTAATAACATCCGAACGATAACATCGTGTAACAGTCTTGCAGATTGATTTCTGCTTTGGTTTGTTGAGCTCGTTAGGGGATATCAGTAAGTATGACGATCACTGATCAAATGCTCCCAGAATTCTTATTTCCTTCAGTCCTTTCAAATGAAAGCTACTACAAGTAGACACAGATGTAAATGCTCATCAGGCCCAACATTAAATCCTGCTGCCCAAACAGCTTTTACCTGTCGGGTTATGAACACAGCACCTCTTGAAGTGTCCCAGTGGGGTTAGGGTTGTTATTCAGGTCTGCATATTATGACCGGGCCTGTGCCACTGCATCCCGTGGGAGTGACTGGTATTTCTGGAGTTTCGATGCCATCACTCTGAGTCACATTCCTCTTGCTCTTCCTGGCCAGCTTTTGTGTAATGGTGGGGCCATAAACAGTGTAAGTAATGGATGTAGCTTCTGATCCTGAAAAATGAAGCCATCATCATGGTTCCACCCATCTTTTCCCATCTTTTTCATAAATAAGTGGGATCCAAAATCCTGCCGAGGATGGCCGTTGCCACCTGGACTCCAGTTATTTTGTCCGTGTTACAGTAGCACCCATATGAATGCTCGGACTCAACGTTTCCCAACATTGCATATGAGCAAAGCTATTCTCTTCAGCTTCAGTGGTTTGATTTGATTGGCTCGTGTGTGCATATGCCTGTTTGTACAGCTGTTCTGTGCTGGAAAAGTTTCATTTATACTTGTTTGTGTTGAAGAAATAAGCGGTGCTTCTTATTTAAAGGAAATACTGTAGGCTTACTCCGAATTGTATATTTTCCTAAAAACTTGCCTTTTCCTTTCAGATTCTTCTCTGCTTGGGAGTTACAGGCCAAGAACAGCGAGAGTAAGTCCAATTATAATATCAGTAACTGTAAAATACAATGAGTCAGGAATACTTCTGGTGCTACAGGACATCAGCACAACACTGTTCTGTAGTCTTCTCATTCTGCAGGTTAGGTTTGGCGGTCCATGCAGCTCTGATTTTAGTCATTTTATGAGTATCAGCGACAGATAAACACATTTTATTTATATTTTATTTATATTTAACCGGGCAACCTTCCGATTACAAGACGAACTGCCAACTCTTGAGCCACGATCGCCCTCTAAACCCTTTTGCCCTCTGAAATCTTCTAGGTGGAATCGGGATTTGTGAGGGAGGACTCTCCTCCAAAGACTCCATCCCGACATGAACCCCAAATTAAAGGCCTGCTTAGAAGTTCTGCCTCAGCTCCCTCCAACCTGACTGTACAAAACTCCAGAAATCCTTTGAGTCGCAGCAGCCATTCCCTCAGAGAAAGGTAATCCTCTTTTCTTAAAAATATTTAAAATGACTGGATGTGTCAAAATTAAAACCATTTATTCCTCATTTTAAAAGAATCTAATGGCCAGAGAACAACAAAATCTGATTTAATTTCTCGTCATTATTCTCTGGACAAACTGAAGGCAGGTGTCATGTCTTCATTCATTACCAAAAAGTCAAATAAAAGCTGTCAGAAACTATTTGAATGGCATATCTGAGAAATGAGTAGGGGTTCATTCACGCTAAAGCTGACTGTATATAAGTGTAGTCTACTTTGAAGCACACAGACAGGTTAGAAAGCTTCCAGCATCACCAACCTCTGCAGTTTTTTGTTGATTCACATGCTGATGACAGAAAAAAGCAAATACGCAGTTAATGCGGTGCATGTTTGTAACCCGGCGAAGCATGAAATCTTAAGGTGTTTATCAGGAAAACACTGTGAGGATCACCTCTGAGCCCCAGAGTTAAGTTTTTCTGGCCACAAAAAACAAATCTGATTGTGTTCATACTCGAGGTACACACAGGAGTGAACATAATCTTCCTTTTTTTGTGATGTTTGCCATGAATTTATCCTGATCCATCTGTGTAAATCATTTGTTTGCTCAAAAGATCTTAAAAGCAAAACATGCACCTGTAGGAGTCTCATTACAGTGTACAGCAAATATATGGAAATCCCGTGAGATGTTAGTCATACGCTGCTGCTGCTGGTGCTGGTCTGTGAGGTGTGAGTGTCTGTGTGTTTGTACACGCACATCCAATCTTTAATTTTGATCACACTCGACAGGCAGGATGAATTCCCCTCCACCTTTTAAATTACAGAAGCTGATGTCTTGTCATGTTTGTTCATTACTGAGAGAGGAGGCAGAGAGAAGGGAAAACAAAGAGGAAAATGGTATTGATTTGTGTTTCAGCTCGAGACTGATGCATTTGACCCGATGCACACTTTAATACATTCAGAGAGACCTTGTCATCGATCACAGCAGCTGCGAGTTGACAACGCCGATGGGACCGATGCTCCGTTTTGTTTGTTTGTTTGTTTGTTTCTGCTTCCCTTTTCCGTCCGCTCAGTCCATAAGTAAACAGTGGAATCAATGGACAATCTTAAACTGCAAAGTAAATTGCAGGAAATGAATGATACTTTTCCCTCAATTGGAAACGCGACAGGATTTGCTGGGTGGGAGATTAGAGTGGGCCTTTGTAGATTCCCCGCGACAGGGAGAGGGGCACGTCTTACCACGAATCTTTGATCTATAAAGAAAATGACAGATGCCAGTGGCAGCGTTTGCCCCCTAAGCCCCGGAGTCTCAGTCTATTCATGTCTCTGGATGATTTGTCCTTGATGACTTTTTGAAGCAGGTAGTGTGTTTATCTGATTACAGATGAAAAGCTTCCTTTCCGACACGAGCCGGGCCGAGACACCAGTCAGTCTGTCAGTCATCACCCCTCCGCCACCGACAAATGAACGTGGATGAGAGGCGATGCCGGAATTTATTTTTGTTAGTGGGATCTCCAGTTTCGTAACTGTCCGCGGTCAACACGCAGACACATTTACACTGGGCCGATGGAGTCCGTTTATGCCGCCAGTTTAACGCGTAGCTGGTCGAGGCCCCACAAAAATGTAAATGCGGAGGAATGAAAGTCAAAATGAGGGTTTAGGTGGAGTTTTAAATGTTGTTTATGAAGGTTATGCACTACCAGGGTGTTGGCCCTGTCAGCCACTCGTCTTACCTTGGGTTACAGCACAGACTAGTGGACAAAAGAAGGTCTTGTAAGGAGAACAGTGTTTTTGTTAATGTATTTATTAATGAAGAGTCTGTGTTGATCACACACACACAATGTTAATTAAGGATTTATTAGAATAAAATTTTTATCTTGGGGACCCTTAAAACAAAGTCTATATCTATGCTTAGCTCTGAGGAATAAACTTTGAGGGTTGAAGACAAAGATCAAATTAAGACGAAGCTGTTGCAGCAATTTTTCTGTCTGTTTTTTGTTCAGTAAGGCCTGATGATAACCTGACACAACGACCAAGATACCTGTTAGTGAAAGTTTTCCATCTGCCTCTTTGTGTTCCAGACTCAGAGCCAGTCAGACCAGTCCTCCACACTGGGAGCAAATCCATAGCAGAGTCCAGAGGATTCTTCAGACTCACAAAACAAACCTGGACCAAAGAGCAAGCTTTGACCTTTAACCCTCTGATCTGACTTAGAAGAGACCAAATTATGGAAGTTGCCGTACTCAGAGTTTTAATTATTAGAGCAGTAACTGATAATGCACATATCACAGTCATATTTAAAAACAGAGGTTCTGCAGGCTACCAGTTTTGTACATACAGACACTAACACGTTAGCCTGTCACAGATATGCACATGTATCTTAATTAAGCTCTATTTCTTGTTCATTTAAATTGCAAACCTTCCCAGCACGTGCTGATTTGCTTTTGTTGGTGCAGAGGTTATGTTCAAAAGCATCGAGGCACCACTTCACTCCCACCTCTCAGCTGGGCTTTTTTTTTTTTTTTTTTTTTAAAGGAAAAACCTGATGCTGTAACCAAAGTGAGACATCGCCTAATTTCGCTAAAGCTGTGTGTGAAATTGGCTCAGGTATAAAGAAGCTACAGTTTATGTGCGTGTGCGCGCGTAGGAAGTGACATAGTGGATGTAAGCTGCAGCTGTTAAGGGCTCATCTCTTGCAACACAAAGAAGAGACAAGACGGTAGCCAAGAGCCACTGTTGGGATCCAAGAGCTACAAGAGACTGCAGAGATTTGAGAGGGAGAGTGAGGAGGAACAAAGGTAATCCTGAATGAAAGCACAGCAGACACAGAGCTTTAGCTTTAATGAAAAAAAATTAAGGCATTCGCTTTCACAGCCTTACACCGAAACATCTGAAGTGTGTGTAATGTTTCTGTGCTACTGACACACAGGTCGTGTGACACAGAGGTATTTTATTCTGCTGTCAGAGTGGAGGCTCGTTTCACCTTGAATTGGAACTACAGCAGATAACGACGCAGTTTTGGTTCTTCGGCAGCTGTTTTTGTGAGTGGTTGTTGTTAACATAATGCAACATACAGCTGCACGACTTTACAGAGACTTGTAAGTGGAGGGATTTAACCATGCTAAGGTAACTTCAGGGTTAACCCTGATTTTTCAGTATTACAGGAGCAATAAGTTTAACACCAAAATTTCAGCAAAGAACATTTTGACAACCCCAAAGTTTTTGTTTCAGATCACGAGCTCTTAGAAAATTAATGAATTGCACCATGATTTTTAAATTTTTTTTAATTGTTCATGCTGTGTATTTTAGTGGGACTGATTGCTGTGCAGCAAAGCATTTACACTTGAATTGATAAAACTAAAAGTTCAGATGTAAATATGAGCATGTACACCATATTTAATGAGGACTATACAAGGATGTTTTAAAATATTGTTCTTACTGAATCAACTTGTCTGGGACTGTGTGTTTTATACAGCCAGCCTCTTGATGTACACACATGTAAACAGTCTATCCGAAGTGTCATGAATGAGTGTTTAATTTCCAAAACATTAAAAATGCTTCAAAAAGCCATTTTGTATTGATGAGCTTCATTTCTAAATGAGAGAAACGCCCCTCAGAGTCACTGTTCATCACATCAAGTCTTCAGATTTACTTCTTATGGAATTTCTTCTTCTTCCTGTTCTTCTTGCCAGCTTCCTGTGCCGCTTTCTCTGCCATAACATGCTGGTACCTCTTTTTGTTTTTCCTGGGAAGAGAAGGAAAGTGTGTATTTAATGTTTGTCTTTTTGTATCCAGTAACTGTGGCTTGTAAATTAGTTTATTTCTCTGCCGTAGCAAAGGTAAAGATCACTAAATGTACGAGTCAGATAATTCTACGCCTCAGAAATGAAGAACTGGAACAGACACGTGTTGTAAATGTCTGTAATTATTTGTGACGGACAGAAATATTTAGTCCTGTGTTTCATGCTTATCTTGGTAAGCGTGAATAAGAAGTCACCTCGTTCAAAAAAAGCATTTCACCTGTGAGGTTCTAACAGCTAATGGAAGCACTACGAATTTAACTGGTAGTGTGGTTCCCCTGAAGGTGGACACTGCCCCACCCTCACATCATGTGTCATTCAGGTAGGTCAAGGTGTGAGTGGGAGTTAAATTGCCTGGGAAGGGATCTCAATACTGCGTTACACGTAGCTTAGGCCTCCACATTAGTTCAGCGATGGCTGTTCCAGGCGGATGTAAATGACCTTTGCTCCTCAACAATTCACATGCAAAAATTCACATGCTGTCTCATCATGTGACTAACGACTCCGATGACGACGGGGTGGGTTAACGACTCAGGACTATCTGGAACATGACAACCTCACTAAAAGTGAAATATTTCATCACCTGTCAGAAGCGAAGAGCCTTTTGGATGACGTGAAACATCTAGAAACTTAAAAAGAAGTCTAGTTGCCGTTAAGCTCAAGTGGTTAAAACTACCGTGATGTGAATGCAGACCCACACAGACAAACCCATTTAAATTTTACTTTTCCAACTACACCTGAGGATGCACAAACTAAATGTCTACAATAATTTGTCGGCTGACATAGTGGTGGCATTGTGGTTCCTTTTATGCTCTTAACCATATATAATTTAAAGTGACTGAAAAATATATAATTTCTGTTAATTTTTGAGTGAGTATTTCCAAGTCTACATGCCCAGTGGAGGTAGAGGGTGGAAGGGGAGATGTCTCATAATAAAACCACACCCACTGCAGGTGCCCACTTACTGTCTGAACTCTGCGTCAGCGAGCAGCTCCTCCACAATGGTTCTCTTCCTCTCCTTCTTAGGGATACGGGAATGATAGAAGTCAGCAGCGTTGTCCACCACTGTACCAACCTGCAACACACACAGGAAAACATCACACTCAGCACACGCACTGATATTGATAGTGTAGTCCCTGAGTGCTCTGGACTATAAAAACAAAGTTAACCAACTTTTACAAAATCAATATTGATAACCACGAGTGTAAAGAACTAAGAAGCAGGAGGACAGTTCCACCGACCTGAAAGTATTTGGGAAAGCCATCTCTGTCGTTCTTCTTGTAGAACCTCTTAGGATCCAAGGATGCTCTCATCTTCAGCACTTGGAGGTCTCCTTTCAGCTCCTGAGTGATCTCCGGGGCCTTCATGTTAAACCAACCATCCCCTGTTGACTTCTCCCTCTCTGCCTGGGGAAAGAAAAGTGATGCAGATTGCTAAGAAACAACGTTTGTGATGACTACCGTTTACTCTTTTAGGTATGTGTCACAGGTGACTGCACAAATGCAGAGAATAAAACTAGAATCGACCAATCAAAGCAATTTTTTTTCAAACTTACTCTGCGTTTCAGCTTTAGGGCATGTTTGGATTCACTGTATGGCGGCACAGCATCCTTCTTTTCAAAGTCTGGTCCAATCACACTCTTCTTCATCACCTGTGGACATCAACACAAACCACAACTCTCAAAAACAACTGAACTGTCAGAACACTCCACTGCTCCAAGATAAAAAGGTCAAAGTCAGTGAGAACTGTAGAGAAACCTTTAATAACGCCACCTCATCGCCCTTGCATAGCTTTGGAGTTCATTATTCATTCTACACCACAGATCACCTTCAAGAAGAGGGGGGAAAGAAAGAAATCAATCGCTTATTTACCTCATCTTGGATCTTCTTTTCCTTTAGTTTTTGCAGTGAACTGGAGACAGGCTTTGATTTGCTGCCATCAAAACTGATGTATAAACCCCCGAGCTCCTTCACTTTGAGGCCGGGGTCAATACGGCTGGACAACTCTTTCCTGAAATTAATAGGCACAGGAAAAAAAATTCCTCAGGAGGAGCAGTCGTGTCTCATTTCTCACCTCTGCACAGGTATAATAAAATCTAACGATGTGTCTGAACACCTGGCTCCACCGTCTGCATGCTAACCTCACAAAAAGATTAAACCCAAAATGAGCTGATGCAAACATATTCAGCTGTGCTGCAGATACACTGCTGTCCTCAAATAATAAAATGTTATATATTTACAGTCCCACATACACAGTGCATGCTGCCAGATAGCATATAACACCAAATGTGTCTCAATGCGCAGCTGCAAATAGTCCCTAACATTATTGTACCTAAAAGTTTTTAAACACCACAGAGCTCTGAGGTCTTAGGACATTATTTTGGCTTGATTTTTTTTTTTTTTTTTTTTTTTTAAAAGGTTAATTTGTGCTTCAGGTTGCTGCTAAATTTCTTCATCGGCGCCATCATTATCAATGATACCTGGCAACAGTAATATGATGTAGTAGAGGTACTGGTGCGGATTTTTCCCCAAGCTAATAATTTCTCGTTTCAAGTCTCTATGCTAAGCTAACCAGCGTTACATTTACTGTGTGGAATCGATCTTCTCATCAGAGAAGACGGTAGGGCTGTTCGATATAACGATATATATTGGATGATGATATAAAAACGTTTCATTTTACGCTATCGTTTGTTTCGTGGTGTCGCAAAATAAACTGTTTACGGCAATTTTTTTCATCGTTTTGATGGTCACTGTAGTGGCTATATTAATTTCTTAAAGTTCTCTCTTTATCTTATATTTTATATAACCACACTACAGACGGACAAGCGCCTGCTTTTATGCGTTGTGGTTAGCAACAACGACGGTAACAGCATCGCGTGTCCGCTTGTTTATGTTCCACATAAACCTTTCACAATAAAGCTCAAGATCCTGTTGAGACTTTTCAAAATAAACTGAATCACGTGAAAGAGCCGATTATTTACGGATGAGAATTTAAAAAAGAGCCGCCAGGTGCTAAAAATAAACCTTAGACTCAAACGTTAGAACAGGCTTTTCCCCGCAGCACGCAGTGTAATAAATACTCACAAAGAAAACGGCAGCTGTTACAACTTATGTCTAAAAATGTATTGTTTCATGCATCGGTTAAAACACTGGACTCCAGCTACATGACGCACAGCTGGAAACACTTCACGCAAGTCGAGCTGCCCGAGATTCTCAGAATTTACAGAAAATGTTACATTTTTGTGATTTATATCATTATCGGACGATAGAATTCTTATATCGGGATATGAGATTTTGGTCATATCGCACAGCCCTAGAAGGCGGTAAAAAAAGTTGTCCTTTCTGAAGTGTCAAACGACTGTGTTCAATAAAGTATTGCTCAAAATTGGTTCTGCCAGAGGTGTCTTCCTGTTAGAAGAGAGTTTTTCCTTCCCACTGTCGCCAAAGTGCTTGCTCATGGAGGGTCATGTGATTGTTGGGGTTTTTTTTCTCTCTTCTCTTTTCACCTTACAATATAAAGCGCCTTGAGGTGACTGTTATTGTGATTTGGTGCTGTATAAATAACATTGAACTGAAACTTTCAAACCATTTAATGAAATAAAGTGTACCTACACATCTACATTTTTTAAATCTGATAATCATCTACATCGGGGTGTCCAACTCCAGGGCTCAGGGCTGGTATCCTGCAGGCATTAGATGAGTCCTTAATCCAACACAGCTGATTTAAATGGCTAAATGACCTCCTCAACATGTCTTGAAGTTCTCCAGAGGCCTGGTAATGAACTAATCATTTGATTCAGGTGTGTTGACCCAGGGTGAGCTCTAAAACCTGCAGGATACCGGCCCTGAGGCCTGGAGTTGGAAACCCCTGAGCTAAATGGTTACCAAAATATTCTAATGTATTTGGTATTTTGATTATTATCAAACTATGAAATGACCCCTCTTGCTCTGTAGATGGAGGTATTGCTTTCCTTGAATAGACCACTCCCATCTGGATAAAAATGTTTCATTACAGGATAAAGATGAGCACTACAAAACCATTTGCCTTGATTCAAGTGACCATTGCGCCCAAACCACAGATTCCAAAGGTTCAGGTTTTTCCTTTAATCTAATTCCTCTAATGTACTTACACATGAGAGTTTCTGCTAGAGAACAGGACTTTAGCATCGTTGTCATCATCCTCGTCCTCGTCGCCAGCCTCATCCACAAACTCCTCGTCTTGCTCCTCCTCCTCAGTTCCTTTCTGCGTGCTTGCCTCTTCATCCCATCGCTCCTCTTTGTAGTACAGCTCATCTGCGTCTTCTCCCGGCCGCTTGTCAATCATAAACAGTCCCTCAATTGATGCAGCTCCAGCTTCTGACTTTCTGCAAATTCCCCCTCTCCTCTCCTTCCCCATGTATCCCGAATCCTCCTCTTCAGAAACTTCCCTCTCCTCCTCATCCTCCTCCTCCTCATCACTGCTGTCCAGCAGACTGACTGCTGTCCTCTTCTCCACGATGACGTCTTTGGGTTCAGAGTCAGAACCTGCTGTAACCTTGTGCTGCTGATATGATGTTACCTGAATGGACTCAACCACCTGCTGAGATGTGCTGACTTCCATTTCCTCCCCCACACTAGGCCGGTTTTCTACGATGACATCATCATCCACAGACTCATCTGGCAGAGGTGGGAGGAGGTCCACAGCTTTCTGCGTCTCCTTGGCCTCCTCTGTGGTTTCCAAGGCCCTCTCACATGTTGTTTCTGTAACTGATTGGCAAGGCTCTAACCGCTCTGGTGATGGGACTGTTTCCTGCATCACTTCCATCTCTAAAGTGTCCTCGTCTTTATTTCCAGCAGACGGCTCCTCCTGCTGGTTTTTGCTGACCACTGCAGGCTCGCTCACAGGTTCTGAGGGAGATGCATGGGAATCTTCTTTAGAGGCGAAATCCGTTTCCTTTTTTCTACCCGCTTTCGTGGACGACAGTTCGGTACTATTCACACCCTCGTGATCTTCTACCGTTTGGCTCTCATCTTCCTCCACCACCGTTTCATCTGCATCCTCAGCAATCAGTGTGCTTTCTAATTTAGAATCGTTTAATGTGCTGCCCTCCTCGGCAGATTCTGATACATTTTCTACAACGATGCTGCAGTCCTTGGCTGAGCGCCTGGAGGCCGGAGCACCCCGGCTGCTGTTCCCCGAGCCTGTGCGGCTGCTGCAGGGGGTCCCTCTGGCTCGCGTGGAGCTGGGGGTCCCCACTTGGGAATGCACATCCATAGCGTCTGAGTCTGAATCCATGGCTCTGAGAGTTGTCGACCTGGTCCTCCCACTTCTGCGACTGGTCAAACTGTAAGTAGGCCCGGACTCAAATCCTTCAGAGTCACAAGACGGAGGTTCACTAAGCTCTGCAGGGGCTGCAGCCTTTCCTCTCAGTGCCCTGGTCTGTCGACGTGTTGGAGCCAGAGACTGAGAGCTTCCTGACGGCTCGTCTAGATGCATAGGAATGGGACTAGTTTTTCTTCTGGATCTCGTAGCTCTGCGAGTAGTGGACTTGGACACATCAGCTCCTGACACACTGGAAATGCAGCTGTCAGCGTCGGAGAGCTCAGACTCCCCAGTTTGGGGTTTGGCAGACGATCTGGTACGAGCTTTTCTCTGACTTCTGGTGGCTCTCTGGGAATTGGACACCACGGAGCTGCAGGACCCGGTGTCCAGCTCCAGGACAGCTTTTACATCTTCCACCTTGACACAAGCAGCGTCTGAGCTTTCAGCCTTCTTTCTCGCACTCCTTAGACCACGTTTTGATGCAGACACTGCAGATGAGCACGACTCCACCTCAGATATCTCCTCCTCTTCCTTGTTAACTTTGCGGGTCTGTCTCCTCCCCCTGGTACGCGTCACTGGCAATTCAATGTCGGACACCACTGAGCAGCAGGACTCCGCCTCTGACACATCCGCCTCATGGATGGAGCCCACCGGGGTGGAGGGCTGCTCTGGACTGTGAAGCCTTGAAGCTCTGCTGCATCTCTTTTTTGTGGTGGTCGAGGGAGAATCTGAATTTTGTGCAGCACTTTGCTCAAGCTGACTGCAGGACTCCAGAACGCCATCGTGGGTAGGACTTTCTGCTTGCTTAGTAGTCCTCCTGGTTCTCCGAGCAGTGGAAGGAGTGGCCTGTGTGAAAGAAGCAAGGCACAGTTAGTGGTAAGGCTAGTTTACAGCAACATGGCTGAGACGATAAGCAGAAGATAAGTCTGGTGACATTTTACTGTCAAGAACTCAGACAGAGAGCTTGATATCCTGCAACAAATGCACTAGTTTCCAATACTAATGTGTCACAAAAAATCCTGTCTAATGAACGGCATGTACAATTTACACCTGGAGAGGCTTTTAATGGCTTCCCTCTACATCTGATCGCTTGGTCTGTAACAGGCCAGTACGTAGCCTGAGATCCTCAGACAGAAACCTTTCATCTGTTTCCGAGGCATGGCTGAAAATGCCTCACAGTCAAAGCCCTGAAGCTTTGGAACAAGCTGCCCAAAAAAATCCAAGTATGCAGAGTCCATAACCTTCTTTAAATCCACTCCAAACACTTTATGCTAGATTAAAATCATAGCTTTGGTACTTCTTGTTCAGGTGTTTCATGCATTTCCTTTTTCCAAACATAACGCTTCTCTTTTCACCCAGAAAGTCCTGGTCAGCAGGGAGCACTTCAACAGGAAATCGAACCTCATTCAGGCTTCTAGCTTGTTCATCTGATCTTTAGCGGACTGCAGGTGGGGGAAGAGCTGTCCTTTTTACAGAGCCGTGGTTTTCACCTTGCAGCCTTGCCCCCCCCACACAGAGGCTTTTAATTGCTCAGTTGCCAATACAAGTTCCTTTCTGCCCTCACGGACTGCAAGCCCTGCTCTTACAGCAATCTCTGTTGATCAATCACTCCCGAGCAGCGCAGCAGTGAATCGTCTCCTTATGCTTGCCTTCCTGATCAGAATTATCATCCTTTAACTTTTATTTTTAGTCTGACATTTTTGTTTTCAATTTGAGTTTCAGTTTCCAGACTAATTTTATGAATGATATTTTCAGATTGTCATCCTCCTCCTTTTGTCTGCTTCCTTCAACACATGTGTCACTAGGTCTATAACACTACACTATTGGGCCAAATATGTGTTTTAGGTTATTTAATAATAAAGGATGCTTTACTCATAAATATACACTGATTAGTGAGTTATTAATTTTTTTAAAGAAATTGATGAGTTTCCATAAACTTAGAATTAATCAATCAAAAATATGCATAACGAGGTGCTGGTTAGTGAAAGCCGCCATGTTTGACTGAGCTGTACAGTGACATCACCCTTCAGGCGTCTAACACACGAAAACATGTATAAAAATGTTGCGTTACTCCTAATGTTGTTACAATTACTTATTGTCAGTAGATTAGACACGTGACCCTGGTGTTTTAAGACAATAACAGCTAAATTATGCAAGTTAATGTTGGGCTCCAGTGTCACGTTTCCCTCTGACAAACAGTTTGTTACAGTCTCACACTGTGTGACAGTTTATTCGCTAAGTGTCCAAGTCCAACGGAGTTAGGTCCACTCTAACGAAAGTTTCATAGTCCTACAGCCTCCTCTACATAAAACAGACACGGACACCAGCCGAGGTAAACAGCAGACTGACAGCCTACACGCCAGAGCTGTTTGTCCTACAGCGGCCACCGTAGACGGGATTATTGCACACTTAAACTGGGAGGGATAAATAAAAACGTAATTCGGCTGATCGAACGCCTCGGTCTACTGACATCTAGTGGTGAAACCGTGCACACTAAACCTTTAAAAATTTCACAGCAAAATAGTAAAAACAATACAAACACACTTGCAATAAACATATACAACCATGGCTAAAACTGAATTTTTAAAATTCGTTTTAGTTTTTAGCCTAACAGTTAACTAAAAAGGTTTTTACACCTACTTTTTAAATTCTCTACAATAAACTTGGCCCAATGTATTTGTGCATTAACTCATCTCCACCATTATGTGGCGTTAGAAATCCTAATAGCTATATTAAGCTAACAGCTAATAAATAAACAGTTAATAGCTTCTCATTACCACCTTTTTCTTGAGGTTCGCGTAGTTTTGTTATACAGAAATATAACTGGAGTCGAATATATTAATGTGGGCCTTCTCGTGATCTACTTTTAGCACTTTATGTGGAAATCTGTTGATTTTTAGGTCATATTTACACAATAACATGAGATGTTTACTCAAGCAGCACTTTATGTGAGTTAGACAGAAAACACGAGTAGGAGAAGAAACTAAAACTAAGAGATGCTGTTACTTAGTCCGCATGTTTCTGTTTTCTGCGCGGATCCCTCACAACATGAACACAAGCTGGTACAGGGTGAAGTCCACGTGAAGCTGGGGCAGATCCACACATCAGCTCTCACACACGTGCCAGGCGTATAACTCACTACCTGGACCTCCAGGTGACACCTGAACATCTGCAGCTTCCAATAATCTCCCTCTGTGACACGTACCTGGACCTCAGAGCGGTGCTCCGGGTCTGTTTTAGCTGGGGAGCTCACACGCACTCCTCTCCTGGTGGCCACCATCTTGCTCTCTCACAACTCTACTCACTTCCGGCATGAAGGCTAGACCCGACTAGTCAAATGAACGGAAATGAGACACAGGCCTAACAGCAGATCACAGAGCAGCCGACTAACTCTCGAGTTGTAGTTTATTTATTATAATTATTATAACTATTGTAATTGTTGTATTGGAAGAATTACTCAGTGAGAGTTAACTAGGGTGACCAAGAGGACACTTGGCCCAGTCATGAAGAACTTTAATAATACAGTTTGCTTAAAGAAAACTTCAACATATTTAAACGATGCCTTCTCTGTGAGGTTAATGAATGGTGGAATAAAAAATGTCATGTAGGCTTTTACAAGTCAACAAATGCAAAAATAGAGGACGGTTGGTCACACTAAGTTAACATACAATCCCTAATTTTAATATATCCTTTGATAAACTGCTAAGAATCACTAATTGGGCCCATCTGTGTCAGTTTTAAGCAACTATTAACGTTTCCAGTTGGGTTTAGACCGCAAAGAGACGGTTAATTATTAGATATAAAAGCCTAATGCTCAAAATCAGGAGCAAAACAACCTAAATTGCATGCTCTGTTTTGATAAAGGAGCACAAAATGACAAAATAACCAAAATTGTGTCATAAAGAATAAAAAAATTGGGGTGGGGGATACTATCTACTACTATGTTCTTTATTAAAACAACACAAGCTTGCATATTAAGCCAGGGGTGTCAAAAATAAAGCCCGGAGGTCAAAATCGGCCCGACAAAGACTCAAATCCAGCCAGCTGGACAAATTCTTAATAATTCTTATAAATAAATAACATATTGCTTCATATTTTCTGTGAATTAGTGAAACTTTGTTTTATACTTACAGCAGTCAGGCAAATAAGCTGCCAAAGTTTTTCTGCAATTTTACACCGATATTTCTTGCTTGTTTCTTTCTTTACTACAGCAGCTGAAATTCTTATGTTTAGACATTTCAGCTAAATGTTTAGCTAAACTTCTCACTGACGCAAAGGCTAATTTAACCACTTTAGATCCCTCTATTAAGTCTTGTATCAGCAAAGGAGGTCTAGCTGCATAGGACTTAGGAAAGTATACACTTGGTACACCTTGCTAGTGGCTTAGACCCCATTTAACCTTCAGAGATGCCTTAATTCCTCAGGGTCTAGTCGGCAGATTTGCTGGCTGCACATCCATGATGCTGATCTCCTGTTCCCACAAAGGGGCTCTGTTGTATTGGACCATGGAGATCATTTCAGTTCACTGATTATCACATAGAAGAAAGCAGCTTGAAGTTGAGTTTTGTGACATCAGAGGGTGGGTGGACCGAGGCCATAAAGGGATGTACGCGGTCAGCAACAACGCAGGCAGGCTGTGGTGTTTAAACCATGCTAACTGAATCATAAACTTGCTGGCGTAACATTACAAAAAGCCTGTTTTTTAATCGAATCAATTCAAATGAAGACTGACCCCAAATACTCTGCAGGAGGAAATTATTCACCAGTGTTAATTATTTTATTTCATTAACATTTACACAAGCCCAATCTTTTTAAACCCCTCACCCCACCGTCGATTCCAGGTCTTCATTTTATCAACACCCAATTCATGATATACTTACAGGAGACACTTAATGTTAAACATGTTTTACAGTACGAGTAAATTCCGAGGAGTTCCTGGACCCTGTCTGCGATTCACAAATACAAACGTATTCCTCAAAAGTTTTTTCACATCTCCTCGGCACGGAGATTCCAGTGCTTTTAAACGACACATTTAAAAGTCATTTACTTTTAAAATACTCTCCCTCTGATTAATCTCATGAGCAAGATTGGGAGGTGAGGGTAAAATTTTTGATGTCATCTTTAAAAAAAAGTACATGGTTAAAAAAAAAGAAATGAAAAAAAAAAGAGCATAACGGAACAGAGTTATATGAGCTCACATGTCTGTCTGCTTTACAGGTTAAAGTCTAATTCAGACTCCCATCATACCACCACCCGAGTACCCAACCGTCACACGCATGTTAACGGTTTTATAACCGAAGGAATGTAAATATTATATAGCATGAAAAATCCCGCTCCCCACAAGTTATAATTTCCCTCTTTCCACATACGCTTCTCTTGCTTTAGCACTTATTTCACTCAGACTGGTATTTAAAGCATGATTCACACAGACGCGGGGAAGACAAAGCAGGGTTGATAACAGGAGGAGCAGATGCGAGGCACTTCATATCAGAGTATGGTTGAGAGACCTTCGTCATGGAGGTTTAACGAGCAGCACCTTTAAAGCGGCCTCTGGTGCGCTGATTTACACCAGATCTGTTACCTTACTAGTCACGGTGAGTCACCATGTGTTAATCTCAATTTATCAGTCTTTTCTCTCAAAGCTGACAGTGGAGTTGATCTTTGCACGTTCATGTCCGACTTTAAATCTCATGGAGACAGTGGTAAAGAACACCCGCGTGTCTTTAACCGAATGAATCACAGATGAGGAAGATGCAACCCGTCCGTACAGTTAAACAATGACTTCATGATTCATAATGATTGGCAGCACCCATTATTCAGAGCTGTAACTTTGCATGTGTGTGAATAAAAACGGAGGAAAATGGCTTCATCCCGCTCTCTCTAGTTTGGGTGCTAGGTGCTTGTCTTCTTTGCACTGACGAGGTAGCCCTTAGACTTGATGATGCCCCTGCTCTTGACAATAACGTTGTAGCGCAGGACCCACTCCAGCCTCCAGTCACCGATGTTCAGGTCCTGCGCTCCCGCCCGCACCGCCTCCTGAAACGTGTCTGCAGATATCAGCTCTGGAAAAAAAGAAATCAGTGCAAAGAAGGAGCAGTTTAAAACTCAATAAATAAATAACAGTCACAGTTTACTGTAAACTACAGAATGCAACTTATACTACACAAAGTGGGAAGTCACAAGCATCCCACTAAAGCCACTGAGCAGCCCAAGGACAAAGGACATGGAGAGGAGACAGCAAAGCAGGGAGACAGAGCAGGGGGAAGACATGCAATAAATGGCCTGAGACTGGGTTAAACAGCCAGGCCTCTGATTACCGGGTCACCTTATCAACCCTGCAGGTATACCTGCATCCCTGGTATGCGTTTTTAATCTTACAGGAATGATTTAGCTGCTCAGAAAATTTTCAGTGTTCTATTTTGTTTGAATATTTGAATTAGGACAAAACTTGAATTGGAATAAATGTTGCATTTATAGAAACATTAGCTGCATTCCAGTTTTACTTAGTAACAATTTAAAAACAACTATATGTCCAGCCGTCAACATCTTTACCTTTGGGATCATTGTGCGTCAGCAGCTGGATATCAAACTCCTTAGCAAACGCTGTCAGGTCTGGAGGCATCACGCAGCAGGAGGCCAGGTTGACCTGGTTACTGCTGGGCTTTATCTGCTCCGAGAAAAGGAAGGTGATGAGGGAATCGTAGCAGATAACAGATCGTTGTTCTCATGTGCTATCCTAATCAGAAGTCAGCATCACTTTTGACTGGCGATGACAGATTAAAGCTCGCATATACAAAGCTTCCCACTGACCTGAGCCCACTTATAGAGCTGTTCCAGCAGATCTTTGTCCAGGTCAGAGGTGCCAATAGCGGCGATCTGCTTGCTTCTAACCAGAGCCTCCAGCTCCTCCCAGGCTGGCTGAAGGTGGGCCAAACTTTGGCTGTCGCCGTCTGAGGGCCCGGGTGGAGCAATGATAACAGAGTCAAGCTGGGACACTGCCAGCGTCTGGCAGGCTACGGATAACAGACAAATAAGGCTGTAGGTTTTAAGAAGCTTTTTGTTTTTTACTTTTGTTGAAGAAATTTAAAGCTCACCCATCTCCACTGCGTCTTTGATGGAAGACTGACCAGACTCATGCAGGAACAGCTTGACTGTGAAAACAACAAAGCATGAATAGCTGGTTCCTCTGGTGACTGCCACTTCTATCACTACCAACTCTATTCTGCAGTCAGCCAGATATTAGGTGGAGATGCTCTGAATTAATCCATTAGTTATCTGAATCAGGAATTTAATTTGGATATTATCTGATCGACAGGAGGACGTGTTGATTAAAAAAAATAAATAAATAAAAAAAAAAAAGGTGTGGTGACATCAAAGTTCATGTCGACTAAAACGTCAACCATGACCCTTGGCTTAAATCGCCAAGCTGGGTGATGAGGTACCTACAGGTCAGCGAGTAACTGGCTGATCCAGCTCTCTGCTGGGACAGCAACCAACACTGACCTGAAACCTTCAACTCCTCTCTCTCTTCAGGTGTGATTGCGTCTGTTGCCTCTGGTATGGAGAACTCCAGTGTGTCAGTCAAGTCCTGCATTAGACAGTAAAGAAAAGCGGTCTGATCACCGCCCTCATCCGACATGAGAAATGTGGCACGGCCAGTCTCACCTGGTTTTTACTATATGTGTAAGATAAGATAAGATAAGATAAGATAACCTTTATTAGTCCCACACGTGGGAAATTTGTTTTGTCACAGCAGGAAGTGGACAGTGCAAAAGTTATGAGGCAAAAATTAGAATACAATAAGAATAAATACAGTACACAGCTGTACAGAATAGAATAAAATAAAATACTATATACAGTAGAATAAAATAAAATAAATATACAATAAGATAAAAATAGAATACAAATACAAATACTATATACAACTGAGTAAAAATACAACGATGACAGAAAGGATTATTGCACTTAGTATTATTGCATATGTATGGATGTGTGTGCTTGATCAGTTAAAGTCTTTATTATGGAGTCTGACAGCAGTGGGGAGGAAAGACCTGCGAAATCTCTCCGTCCCACACCGTGGGTGCCGCAGTCTCCCACTGAAGGAGCTGCTCAGTGCTGTCACAGTCTGCTGCATGGGGTGGGAGATGTTGTCCATCAGGGATGACAGCTTAGCCGCCATTCTCCTGTCACTCACCACCTCCACTGGGTCCAGAGGGCATCCTAGAACAGAGCTGGCCCTTCGGATCACCCTGTTCAGTCTCTTCCTGTCCCCAGCAGAGATGCTGCCGCCCCAGCAGACCACGCCATAAAAGATAGCAGAAGCCACAACAGAGTCATAGAAGGTCTTCAGGAGT